TGAAACCAGGGAAAATGAATTGCAAAATCACTCAGAACATGAATAGCAAAGAGAGGGACTGGCCACTGAGCTCCTAGGTTACTGGTTAGGAAGGTTACCAACTGGCTAACCTTGCTGGTTTATAAACCTGAAACTTTGTTCTTTTCCATGCTAACCACTGACCAGCACCCCCCGACTAAAGGAAACTTCTCCCACAGAAATGACCAGCTGTTGGGTCAGAGCTGTCCTCCTTCATGGAGCTCTGCCAACATCTTAGTCCTCACCTAAGAGACACAGCTTTTGTTCTTGTCCTTGAGCATCCTCCAAAATGCTGCCAATTGTGCTGAATGCTATTGCAGCTTTTGAATATGAGAAAACTTTTCATGAAATGCAAACCAACATTACCAAACGCATTTCAAGTCTCCAAATGCAGCATTTGTGGAAATGGTACTGTCACTTCTCCAAAACCTAATAATATAAAAATAGTATGATTTACGGGTACCACAATACTACAAACCCAAATTCACTGTGTCAATACAAAATCATGCCTCACATGCCCACATAACCACAGGCTGCAGCCCACTTACCACTAAAAAGGAGAGAAACAGATCCATGACAGGCTCAGAAAATACTTTAAATTAGTGACTTGCTAAGACAACTGACACTAATGCCATTTGTTTGTATGGTGTAAATATCATCCACTGCTGAAATATTTAAGAAAGTAGTTAGCAAGTTCCCATTAGACATCTCCCTGGGTGCTGCACCCTGCTCACTGTAGAGACTCCTGGGGCGGGGGTACCGTACTTGCTGTGTGTGTAAACGCCCAAGTACAACCACAGCAATTCCATATTCATTTTGTTCTCCCAGCTTATCTTCTCACAGCTCTGGAGTGCATTCTTCCTTATCTTGGAGACAAATGGCCTCCACGGAGAGCTCTAAACAGCAGAGCTATTTATCTGTTTGACATGTGTTTCCCTGTTTGTTTTCTCCAGCCTTGAGACAGTCGGCTCAGGTTTTGTCAATATTCAGCTGTGTCAACGGCAGAGGGTTGCCTGGCCCCTCCACTCCAGTGCTGTGAATTTCTTTGCCATATTTATCATTTACTGTAGTAAATCAAATCTAATCGATGCTTTCTTCTTTTGATATAGAACCCTTTACAAACTTTTCAGAAAGCTGGCTGGAATTAAAAAAAGCCACAGGGAAAAAATTCAGCACTAATTTTTTCTTTGGAGAAAGAAAAGGAAAGGTGGCAATGCTCTGTGGGTGGCAGTCCCCATCAAAAAAAGGAGGAAAAAAAAAAGGTTCATCTACCGATTGTTTCCAATACTTCACTTGTTGCTTTTAACACCTTATTCTTAAAGCACTACATGAACAAGTGTCTCCCCGTCTAACACAAGTGCATCCCTATTCTTTCAGAGCCAACTCCTGGACACAAGGGACTTCCTCCCTCTGCACACACGCATTGTGTTGCCCCCTCAGTCCCACCAAGCAGCAGAGCCAAGGCCTGAAAGCACTGCCGTTGCCTTCGTTCTCATTTACCAGGGCTCTTACACTCGGGCAGCTCAAGACAGCAGGGCTGGCACATGTGCCACCTAGAGCACAAACAGCGCCTGCAGATCCCTCTCCTGCTACCCTTGGCAGGAGCAGCACTCCAGGCAGCAGTGAGGATGGAGAACAGACTCCCCCGGGGCCTCAGGCAAGAATCCGGGCTGCTGCCATTCACTTACCCAGGGAGATCAGCTTTCTGTAAGGACAGCTCACAAACATTCTGCGAAGATGTGGGGCTGGGAACGAGACCTTGCCTTCGCTTGGGTCTGGGTGAGAACGGAGGTTCCCAACGACAGTCTGCTGTGGCACAGAGATGTCAGGACGTTAACTGGAGCCATCTTCCCACAGCCACCTTAGTTGACTTCAGGGAAGCTCTGCTCCACTGCCACAACATAAGGTTGGGACAAAGATGCTCTATTTAGACAGTCTAGATCTCTAGTATAAAGTTGACTGATTAAGAAGACATTAAACAAGTTACACTTCCAACTCCATTTAATCTCTCCCCCAGAGCGCTCCGTACACCTCAGACAACCCACTTTCCACTCCTCCAGCGAAATCCCACAGCTCCTCCCCTCTCAGGCTTAGCTCATAATCAAACTTATTTTCAGTAGGAATTGTGCCCAGACACTGCAATTCTGTCCCCTTCAGACTGATTACGATGATGAGCAACAAATGCATTAAAACAAAGTATTGGCTGTGCTACAAATAAGCCTGGGTGGATGGGGAGGGGCACTAGAAATAAGGAGAATTTTAAAACCAGAGCATACTACACACGTATTGAGTACCTCCTATATCAACCAATTTCCAGGCTAGAAAACCTGCATAAGAACAATTCCTACGGATTCATCCAAATAGCTCCTCTACATAAATTTGACTCCTTATCGGAGTTCACTCACTTCTTTCAGAACCCACAGCAGCTTACAAGATTCAGGGGTTGGGAGTAGTGGTGGGGTTTGGTTTTTTTTGTTTTTCCCAAGTGTTTGTGGTTCATGGATTCGGCAAGCCTCAGTTTTGGCTAAACAAGGCTACAGAACTCCACTTTTTTTTTAAGTCTCTCTGTGTGTTCTTTTTAGCGAAGCAAGGCGTCTTTCATACAGACATTGCTCATCCTGAGCTCTCTGGGTGTGCTGGATAATGCAGCCACACGTGAAATTCTTATCACCCAATATGGAAAAACTTCCCACCCTACCACTACAAAGGTCACATAAAATTGCTATCAATCAATATATAAATCAAAATTCATTATCAGCTCCACAACCACTAAACACAGAGTTTTGCAAAAAGGCAATGATGAACATCAACACTGGACAAAGAGGGGAAAAAAACTGGGAATGGGAAGGGTCCTCAGGGTACAACACACCACAGCACGTTTCCCCAGGTGCAGACATGCAGAGGAATAGCAGAGCAGAAGCAGAAGGAAAGACGGCATGCTGCAGACCTGCAGAAGTGAGCAGGGACCAGTATGTTTTCGGAGGCAGAAACAGAGCTCAACTATGCAGGGTCTCAAAGGTGAGGACATCAATGACATGTAAGTTATCCGGGAGTTAACATCTGTGTGCATGCCATGTTCTCATCTGGCATTTAGTGTGGTGTCACATTGTATGGACACTAAAGATATTTACACCCAAACTGGATTCATGCAGACATGATGGAAAAGGCTCAAAAATGGCATAAATAAATTATGCTTTTAGGCACACAGAGGAAAGAACAAAAAGATTAACCAAAGATGTTGTCCTCACTCCAGAAGAGGCAGCCAGCCCCTGAACGTAGGCAGGTCTGTTGGAAAAAGAGGAACATTCTCCTCAGTCTGCCACAAAATGGGAGAATGGAGGGGAAAAAAAAAAAAACACAAAAAAGAGCGCTGAAAACATGCAATATTACAAATACCTATCAATTTTCACAATGTGTATTTCCTAACTCATAGCCTTCTCCAGCCCACGTTCAGTTGAAGGAAGTTTCAGAGTTCATACCTGTAATTTGGGGAGAGAGGGAGGAGGGTTACTTTTTTTTTTCCTTAAACTTATTTTTTCCCCTCTCTCAGACATATGCTGCATAATTGCAGCTACAGTGTAGATTTTATTGCTAGCATTTAGAAGAGTAAGTGCTCACTTACATGCAAGATGGGAAAGGTTCCTCCCCTGAGGATGAGAATACAGAGACTGATTAAGTGACCGGTAGGTATTTAAGAACATAAAAAATATTGGCAGATCAGGGTTGCAGTTCTTACTGAACGGAGTCAGCACAAGAACAGAGCTAGCCTGCTGACTTCCAGCAGGCAGTAGCATTGGTGAAGAGTAAGTCTTTAAGCTTAGGATTTTCATACACTTTTTAATAGTAAAAAGGTTGAAAAGTAATCACGGCTTGCTCCTCCAGAGGCATGAATCGGGTGGCTGAATCAAACCTGGTGGTCCATGTTCCATCCTGCCTCTCTCCCAAATCCTTTTGCAGAGATTGAATAGCAGAATGTAATTTGCAGTAGCCACCTGATTTCAAGAACCTATCTACAGTTAACAGATATTAGCATAAAATATATTCACTGATTGGATTATTTTAACATTATAAAGACAAAAAGGAGCAAATGAGTTGGCCAAAGCTACTAGTGACAGACTAATAACAAAGCCAGGTCTAGACAGCACAGGTTTGCTTTCAGTCCTATACTCAAGACCACTGCACCATGTTGTTTCTTCATTTTGGTTAACGTTACTGTGGTGATATTAAGAGTATATGCAGAAAGAAATAAGAAATAATTAGGATTTTTGTTCTTTAAAGAGCAACAGTAGTGTCCACATGTGGAAACATTTCAAAAACAGCACAAAAGAACAAATACATGACAACATTGTTGAAATAACTTATGTAAGAACTGCAGAAATATAAGCTATAATCCTTCTATCTTGCACTGATGATAAAGAAATTTCATTTATTTTGTACAAAAAATAGAAAATATTTATACATTTAAAAATAATTTGTCAGCACTATTTAGACTTTTAAAGTTATAAACATTATTTTTGAAGTGGTTAGCTACAAAGCATTTTAAAATTAAAAAAAATGCAGCAAAATGTCATAAACAAGTTTATACAAACATAATGAGGATATTTTTCAAGTAAATCCCAACAGCTAAAGATAACTAAAATGATGCTACAACTCATTTCAGTTGTATTTGATTAGGACTTCATTCTACTACCAAAGAAGCTTAATGAAAACTGTTTCTAGACGTTTACTGAAATTACACATTCCCACGTGCAGAGATCAAATCTGAGACTGTTGAATCAGAGAAGAAAAATAAAAATCTAACTATGAGGGTATCTATCATACAATCATATCAATTCTTTTCAAAGCAGTCTTGTCCTCCAAACTGTCAACACAACAAAGAAAAATATCAACTTCTTTCTGCAGCTCAGGATAGCCTTGGGAACACCTCATTATAGCAATGAGCTGTGTTACTAGTGGGTCACACCATGTTCTAACGTGGTCCTTTAATATTCATCTTCATTTGTGCTGCAAAGAAAAAGCAATGGGTTTGTCTTTGAAGACACCTCCAAGAAATTTCCCTTCCCAGTAGTATTTTTTGAAAATCTGTCAGGTTCAGATACATGGTTTTCTTCTTGTTCCTGTAAAATGCAGCTTGCAGTAGCCAATCCTTCAGGCTGTTCGGAAAGTCTAATCGCAGTGTGCATTTGCTTTTCTAATTCTTCTACCAATTTTCCAGGAACAGATGTAGATTGCAAAGAAACCTTTGATTTTTCATCACTAACCTCAAACGCTGAAGTGTTTGCGCCCTGCCTTAATCCATTACAGTCAATAAGTGGAGCTGTCCTCTCCGCTTGAAGCGTGCCTTGTAAAGAATTTATTTTCCCATCTTCACTGGTTGAGGACTCTCGCTCATCTGAATCAGCGCCTTCTGTCCCAGATGATGAAGTACTGCTTGATTCTTCAGAGTCACTTGTCTCCGACTCAGAGGAAGGCAGCTGTTGCTTGGAAACTGTGCCAGCAGCTTTTAGCGTGCTCTCTTCCTCTTGTACCAGCACTGCTGCTGCTTCCAGCTCTTCTAGTTCAAATCCTATGTGGGACTTAGCGAGCGTGGTTTTCTGCAAGGATTCAGAGAGTGCAGCCAACTTTTTTGACCTTTAACAAAGAACAAGATATATTATTCAACTTTACAAACAGAACTTTCCCATTTGATAACAAGAACACAAATCAAACATTTCTACTATTCGCTCAGTTTGCAAAGAACTTTCTTCTTCAATGATTCTAAAAGTAGATGCTACAGGGAAAAAAAATAATCAAAAGTATTCATAATTACTATTTTTTTGGGTAACTTTTCCCACAAGGCTAGGCAATATCCCACTGAAAGTCTTCAGTGACATTTTCAGAAAAGATACTGCTTCTTTGGTGTTTCAGCAGTACACAGTAAGGGAAAACATGGATTTCAGATCAACCCTTTTCAGGACTGCTGTCTTTAGCTGTGAACTCTGCAGTATGTGGCTTGCTGGATTAAGTTCATATGCAGCAAAATCATTTTGGTTTAGTACCCTTCCAGATATGTCTGTTAAATGCAGCTGAACTGATAAAGCACAGCTGATGAGGTCCACCTCAGTGACATACTATCCTCCTTTAAAAGCTAGTTTGATGCACCCATGATAGCAGGAGATGGTCAATACACTGTCTGAAGATTGTGCTTTACCTTTCATTTGTAACTCAGCTGAAATATAATTCAACAAAAATATCAGGACCACTTAGATAAACACCTCTAATAAAGCAGGCACGCTACGTCAGCTTCAAATCTTTGGTACAGCCATACCCATTTCCTCAAGTGTTTTGAAGTCAGCACATGCTTTACCAGAGAAGTGCATCATGGATTTATAAACAGAGCGAACAAGAAGTAAGAGAGTGCCTTGAAATGGAGGGGTGGGGGGCAGAGGAGAAAAAGGGTATAAAATAACAAACATACATCCTGTTTCTTGTTGTAGAGTTTTGCCTCAGACTATCAATCAACTTTTCACCACTTCCTGCAACAGCAGGTCTACTATAAATCCTGCAGTAACTGACTGGGTTTCATTTCCTCTGCCAAACCTGCTAACCTGCAAGGCATGACACACTGACACTGGAGCAAGTAGCTGATAATGTAATACATGACTCCTGCGAGGCAAAAGTTAAAGTGCTTGTTCTCTCAGTTGAGTGATTTTAAAGATCTTTATATTCTATTTCCCAGGGGGCATAATTACTCAGTATAACATAGACGCTTCAATTTTTTTTTGCTCCTAAAGGAATTGTATTTAAAAGTGGGGGAAGGGAAATTCAATGCAGCTTCTTACACATTTTACAGACAGTGCAAGATTTAAAAGCTGAACTTGGAACAAAACATATTCAACTTCCTTAGTTCAACTCATAGACTAGAAAACTAAGAAATAAGTGTTTACCAGAAGTAACTGAAGCAACAGAGAACAATTTACGTTTCTAGGATTTTTGAACCTAAAGCTAAGAATTAAATCACAACATTATCCTAGCAGCCTCCAATATAAACACAAGTACCAAATTTTAAAAAGGTGCTTACTTAACACTATTCTAATTTGTTCTTTTTGGTGATATATTTCCATTTTATTTTTATCAAGAACTTGAATTTTTTCCTGAAAAATTACGGAGGATTTGAGAAACTGCCAACCTAATTGGAAACAAAGAAAGCATTCTTCCCACTCCATAGGTAAAAAGAAAGAAAAAGAAGCCAAGTGATACACAGAAAGGTTCATGAAGCCTCGCAGGTAGGTGGTAACAGAATAACTGGCTTGCAGGGGAATCTGTTTCCTGAACACATTGGTGAGAAGCTGGTCTATACTCTGAGTCACAAGAGTTTATATCCCTTTCAGAAAGCCTTTTGCTTTGCTTTTGAAACAGTCTCTTTCCTTCCTTCTAACTATACGCATGTATGTGTGTGCACGTGCCCCCTTCCCCTATAAGAGTTGTTAATAATACAAAGATACAATCCTTTTTCCTGTCCTATTGCCTGACTGTCCACAAGAATACAAGCTCCAAAAGCTTCATATGCATTGTGACAGAGAACGCTGTTTTGTACCCATTTTATATGTAGTTCCTTTTAATTTCATTGACAGCCATGAGCAACTCACTGTAGGCACAATTTCCTCTAGTGATACATCTTCAGCTCCAGCTACCTCAGTCTCACCTACCTGTTTTATTATTGCCATTATAGATAGAAAATCAATTTTGAAAGTCCTGTTTGTCCTCACATCTCTTCTATCATGTCTGCCACTTTGTTTCCCAATCCTATATGTATTTTTTGCCTTTTCCTTATTTCTGCTGTTCTAATTTTTCATGCGTATTTTTCTGCTAGATACTTTCAGTCCTTGAAATCACTCCCATAAAATCCTCTCCTCTTTTACTGCTCGCTTGTAATGCAGTTAACACCTCAGATACAGAAACGTCACATAATTGAATCATGTATTAAGGAGATGTATAGCACCATGTACTTTGTGGCATTAATAAATACTTCACTGTGCTCCAGATTACTTAATGCCAAGTGTTAAGGAAGAAAACACACAGTGATATACTAATTTGACTCAACACACATTATATTACTAAATTAGATGTGGTACTACTGACAGATAAAAGAATGGCCTCTCTAAAGCAGCAAGTGTTTGATCACTCTATACACAAATGCATTTTTATCAATGTGTTCAAAGAGAATGAATGAAAACGCTGGTGCCTGACAGCTACAGACAAACACCTGTCCTACTGGACAACAGAAAAACTGCAAAAGGCATTCTTAGTCTGAAAACCCTGGGTTAATTCCTTCTGAGTGATCAAAATACACTACAAAATAATGATAGTAACTGATTTCATAAAACAACTGTGGCTTCAAGTTTCATGTTTAGTCCTTTCTCCCAAAAGTTTTGATACAACTACTGAGAGAGGACATGCTTTTTATCTTTACAAAGGATTACAGAAAAAAAGCCATTGATTAAACAGCCTGCTCTTCCCTTCTAACAACAACAGCACAAATGGATGCTCTGCTTGGATGAGTAAATGCCTGCAAAAGGCCAACAATTCCATCTATCCTCTTAACCTCTACAACTGCCTTCCTTCAACTCTCTCATATAGCGGTTCCACGGAGCAGTGTGATTGCCAACACCGTGCACAAGAACACAGTCCATGAACTACCAACCAGCGCATTTCAGGAAAGGGGAAGGGGTGTGGACTTCGTGCAGACCTGCACAACCTTCTTTCTCTCTGCACCATCAATGCCCCAAAGATCACGTTAGGCCAACCACAATAGCAATCTTCTAATAAATCATTAAAAAACCTAGAAGATTATTTTACTACTTTTTTTAGCTCTTAGCCACATCAGATATTTGATTTAAACTGGATTTAAACAGCATGAAAAAGTCTCTTTTCAGTTACTCAGATTTCTTAGTAGGGTAAATGTTTCCTCCCAATTTTCACTCTAGTCATCAAGTCTCCTACAGGAAAAAAAATAAAAAAAGAAAAACGGACAGTCCACAGAGCTCAACATTTCAATATGAGAAACAAACTCAAATTGTAACGCTCTTGACAAATTTATACATAAAAGCAGAAAACTCCACTCCCCAACTTTCCAATCTTCTATTAAAAGAAACAAAAAATGAGCCTTTGAAGAACAGCTGGGGTTTTTTCCTCCCCCTGTGCAAGGGACTAACAGAATTGCAATTAGCTATCAGTCCATCTTGTTTAAGGCAATTATCTAATTTCAAGGAGAACAGAGTTTCAGGAGTGCATTTCACATCAGCTTCAAGAAAAGGCGGCAGCACTCCCTGGACAAAAAACAAGGCAAACAGCATAAAAATCAGAGCATGGAAATTCTTTCAACAGGAGACTGTGGGTCTCTGAGCTAATGATTTCCCTAGCTGAAAGGTAAGCAACAATTCAGGAAACAAAAATGAGACACCAGAAATGAGATATCATGTATTAGAGACTTGTAGTAAACAGGTCCTGCTGTTTCCAAAATCTTTTAAGTAGTGTTTTAGAGATTAGACAGCAAATACTTTAATTTTTCAAGTATGGTTAATGGAATTGCATGATTACTTTAAGACATGCTCATTCAGTATGCACATTTGCGGTAATGATATCTTATTATTATGGTAATAGTGTTCTTACATAAACATGCATAATGGGCTTTAAAGGTGCTACACAGGATAATTATTAGTTATCGAGATGTTGGTTGCTTAAGGAAAATGTTTAATTACAGGTTAAACTGATCAGATGCATGTTTTGGTTTATGTATAGCTTTGAGGAACAGATAACAACAGAGGCATCTCAGGTCTTGTCCATGCAGTCTGGAATTCAAATTTAAAGACAGAACTACTGTAATCCTTGTCTAGGCAGCAGTAGAGTTTCTCCATGCACTAGAAGAAGAAAAAAATCTTGTTCCACAGGTCTCAGATTATAAGAGAGTAAAACTGAAGTGAAAAGAACAAAGAATCAAAGGAGATTTAGCAAATAAAAGGAGATGGATAAAACAAGGCAAAAAAAGAGGATTATGGCAACAGGAAAGGGAAATCATTACAGGTTTACAGCAACGCCCACCTGTGGCAGCATGAAGAAAAGTGATGGTGATGCAGACTCACTGCAGTGCTGAGACAAGCAGCAGCTGGGGTGAAGGGAAGTAGGACACTACTTCTCCAGTGTCCTGGTTTCACCTGGGATAGAATTAATTTTCTTCCTCGTAGCTGGTATAGTGCTATGTTTTGGATTTAGTACGAGAATAATATTGGTAACACACTGATGTTTTAGTTGTTGCTAAGTAGTGCTTACACTCATCAAGGACTTTTCAGCTTCCCATGCTCTGCCAGGTGCACAAGAAGCTGGGAGGAAGCATAGCCAAGACAGCTGACCCAAACTGGCCAACAGGGTATTCCATACTATATGACGTCATGCTCAGTATATAAAGCTGAGGGAAGGAGGAGGGGGGGATGTTCAGAGTGACGGCGTTTGTCTTCCCAAGTAACTGTTACGCGTGATGGAGCCCTGCTTTCCTGGAGATGGCTGAACACCTGCCTGCCGATGGGAGGGAGTGAACGAATTCCTTGTTTTGCTTTGCTTCCGTGTGCGGCTTTTGCTTTACCTATTAAACTGTC